ATTTACCGGTAATTCAGTAAATGAAAAATTCATACTAGACATTTTTATGTAGAAAATATTGTGTTTATAGATATTTAAAAAGGCTAAAGGGACATTGAAAAAAAAAAACAGGTAAATGTAAGCAACAATATATCTAATTATTAATTTTATGTGAGGTATTTTTTGTTTAATTTTAATTTAAGCTTTCTTCGGTTTGAGAGGCGGTATAAATCGTACTGATTACAGATACAGATCGTCAAAATTAGGAGATAAGACTGTAAATAATTTAAGTTTCTTGAGAAGTTATTTTTTAAAAATGATAATCAATAAAATGGTATTAGTTACTATATATCATTTCTGTGGAATTTTATTTTTCTGTATTATTTTATTTCTGTTTCTAAAAGTTATTATTGTTTGTTTAGAATAACACTTTGATTTTTATATTTTTTATATTCTATATCTTTGAAATAAAAAATGTGAAATGGAAATCAAAATGACATATTTTTTATCACCTTAATTTTATTTTTTAGAAAAAAAATTTACCGGTAAACCGGTATTTTAATTTTCATTTGCCGAATTACCGGTAAATGAAACAGTCGGTAAATTTACAATCCCTAATTACCACTTTGTATGTGTGTGTTTGCTAACCTTATTTCGTTTAATATCTCAGGATAGGGTATAAAAGAAATTTGGCGTGTAACTTGTATATAAAGAGAACTGATGCTATTAAATTTTGGAATATGCAACTCGAGGGAATGAGGAGATAGAGGGGATTACTTGTCATATTTCGCCTGGGATCAGACATAATGAAAACTTTATCCATTATTGGAGTTTACAATACTTTTAAAAAACTCATCTCTATGCTCAAAGTTAAGCTTGTTTTTTTATACCTTTTTACAATAATTAATAATATACATAAGAATCCGCATCGAATCCTTACGTCTGTAGAAAGCTTCTGTGTGGATCCTCATAATTTATTAATTCAGCAATTGGAGTAAACTCTCGATTTAACTAACGAAACTTTGTTCTATAGGAAAAATTTGTTTGTTTTGTTAGTTCCGGCAACTCGACACTTGCCTAGGAGAAATGCATTTCGGGAGATCTTTTCAAGGATAACTGGCCCCTATTAAGGCGTTACAGACGTGGAGAAAACCCGGTAAATTTACCACACGTGGCCAGCCCGTTCTGGCCAGACGCAAACCCACCGTGTTTAGGGAAAGGAAGCGCTTGACCACTGTTGGGCCGGAAAAATTTAAAAACATTTATATTCGTGTTAACAGGTTGGAACAACGAGTCAATGTGTGTGTATATTACCTCTTCATATTTATACATTATAACAACATTTGAAAACACTTGCACCCTATATCTTTTAAAACCAGTAGCGTGCCGTGACGTTTGATGATAGGGAAGCTGTGTTTCTGTAAGAAGCCGATTTCCAGGGGCAATCAGTTAATTGAACGTGATGGTCAAGGGTCCATTTGTATTCGTTTGTTCGATAAGCCAGTAAAAACCGTAGATTTCTCTAAATGTATTTTTAATATCACAATTACATTCTGAATCGCTAGCCACGATATAAGGGCTAAAATTATAAATAAAATAATAAAAACTTACTTGGTGGTGGATGTACTGTACAATACATACCTGGTACAAAATATTCTTCAATTGTATGAATATACTTTAAAGAAAATTATTATAAAATATAGCTTTGTAAAAAACCGTACATAAAAATAACATAAAATATTCTTTACTTTTTAAATCTTAAAACTATTCACTTAGTTAAAATAGCTCCCTACGAGTGGCTAATGGATGAAATCAGAGACGGTTGCAGAGCGTGTATACACGCGGACTGCCAAATCCCAAAGATGGCGATACTGATCAATGTCAAATATCTCTTTCGTCGCATCACTAGTATATCTCAATGGACGCGACAGGGTTGTTGTAGATTTTAAACGTTTCTCACCTTAGCTGTAAGAATCTAAATATGTTAAACTTAATAGAGTGTCTGTCATTTGTTTTCTAACTAATTCGTTTTAGGACCAGGTGTTCACGGAAATTTCCAAAATTTACAACTTTTCGGTCACTCTCGTCGAACTGGAAAAACTTCTGTCTTTATTACATCTAGTATTAAGAAATCAGTCCTCCCCTATACTCGGCTAGAAATTGGTTCGGTTAAGCTTTTGTTTAAGTAAAATTTCGACTCTTTCAGCAGGATTTTCTGTTTCCAATTTTTTAATCTCTTAATTATTTAACTACTACTTAAGTAGAAATAAGCCGAAACTAGTGATGCAACGAATGGTATATTCGTCCTCAGGCCGAATATCGAATATTCGGCCAGGAGCGTGGACGAATAGCCGAATATTCGGCCAAACTATTCGGCTTGATTAACGCACGTACGAAAATTGACGAGCAAACAGAATTATGGCAGGGATCGCGCATCCTGCTCTCTATTGGCCCTCTGTCACTACGCTTCGCCAATCTTGACAGTTGTAGCGGACAGACATGAGCGTCATGGCAGTATGTGATGATATCAAATGTGGATAACAATGAAATGACATACACGAATAAATAACGGAAAAAGAACAAAGAAGGACCGCGAAGTGAAAATGTGAAAATAAATACGAAATTGAGTTGATAACATAATCGAACAAGTCGAGGCAGCTTATTGGCGTGAATTTCGCGGCCGTCAATGCCAAATAATTGTTCTCATAGACTTCGGAAAGCTAAATGCTTGTAATGAAAGTCTCTTAGCGTGACCGGCGAAAGCCTGGGGCCGTTCGGGCTACCAAGCTGTCTGGAACTTCAGTTATGAGAATTTTGTACAATGAAACAAAACAGTCAATTTAATTTTCAAGTTTATAATAAGGGACGATTTCATAAAAACGCATTTATTAATTAATCAGATCATTAATTATTATTTTTCCACATTTTATGACCTAACTTTCGATCTTATGTGTCCACGCAGTAAAAATTTTCATACAAATTTTTTACCCTTTTTCACTCCTTTAGGGTTGAATTTCGTAAAAATTTTTTTTAGCACGCCTACACTTTACAAAAAGAACACATCCTCAAATTTTTAAGTTTCTAGTTTCTAGAGCCAGTAGTTTTGGGTCTGCGTTATCTTATCAGGACTTGTTCTTTTATATACGAGTATATAGATGACTAAACTACATAGTAAGTAGGCAGTTTTCATTTGATTTGTTACCTTTTTTTGATCTCTTAAAAAATAACTTAGTTATATTACTTTTCCTTTGATCTTTTATAAGCAAAAACTTGCGCTTTCTCGAACTTGAAATGTATGTTCAGCATTAATAAAAGTTACCAAAATGATTAATTTACAGCGTTTTTTTATTTCTTACTCCTGTTTTTAGGTATTCGGTATTCGGCCGAATACCGAATAGTAACCGAATATTCATTGCATCATTATTCGCAACCGGTTACTTTGTACTTGAATATTTGTAGTCTTGGAGAAAAAGTACAAAGACAAATTTTCATGATAATGGATACATAAATCGTAAATTTAAGGATAATAAATTCTAGAACTTTTTCTGTACTTCGTGCATCTGTCTCATTCATTAAATTTAGTTGTAAATGATTTTACCAAAGTAACAGTTTATTTTTAACATTCTACAAGAATTGTACATGTTTTTTTCTACATCCCATTGACTTCTGTATACGTGTTAGATACACCAATGAAGAGAATTCAGAAAATTGTATCCTGGTCACTGAACATTGGTTGAGAATTTGCTCTTGGCAAAGAATTTTGATTGGGTTAAATAATTTCAACTATCAAACCAAACTGGATAGCTGAGACTTGAGAGTCTAACCTATTAGACTTGCAAGGTTGACTCAGTTTCACGTATATTGCTCATAATTAGCGTATCATGATGTAACTCAACTATGTCACGATAAGCTCTGTACTATTTTCCTGGACTATTAAGAAATGCTGTACAAGAGTTTTATTTTCCTGAATATTATAACATGGGAAATATGGGCATTGTATCTTGTCAAATTTGATCCTTGGGTTTTCTGTGACATTTTGAGACCCCTAAAAACAGGGTAAGATTCCGAGGATATGTGTGTACTGTATGTGTTTTTCTTGTGTGTGGGCAGTGGCACGTTATACTTATATGGAGACCAGGCAAATTTGAATTAGATGGGCTTCCGTACGGTGTTGACTTCATGCATTTTTCTTCGGGGAGGTTTTTGGGGAAAAAGTTTTGTATAAAAGATTGGGTTGGAAATTGTTGCTAAGTACCTCACGTAATTGTCTTTATCCCCATGGGATAACGAGGCACTATGAGTTGGGTGTCGGAAAAGTCGAGCAAGGCTCATTGCCAGACTTTTTAGTTGTTATGTTTATGGTGTATTCTTGCATATTTACGATGTGCTAACTTCAATAGAAATAAAGTAAAATAAAAATAAGTAACAGGTTAAATCAATTTATCCTGTTTTGTTACATATTACAACATATTCAATAGCCGACTGTGTTTCTTTGAGGCTCTAGGTTCAATTAGTCCCATTATATAAAAGTGTTTTTCCTTATATAAAAAGTCAACAACATCGTCAATATTTGAGTTATATCACTGATATCACTGTTCTTGCTGGGGTGAGAAATGCAACTTTTTAAACGTTCACTAAATTTTTAGAAACATACTCTTTTTGCTATGCAATTTTTGAGGCCCTAGCGCACGCGCCTAACGAGCCTCTTGGGAAATCTGCCATCGAACATATTCGCTTATCCATTCATATACGTCGTTTGCGAATAACATGCAATTACTTTTATTTAATAACTAATATGTTACGAATATATAGGTTAGGTTCTTACATTTCTAAAGTGTCATTATTTCGTAGAGGGAAAGAGCCTGTTATATATTACAGCCTAGGATCAGAACAGACTAAGTTCAGCCTCGTGTATAACTCAAGTTCAAACAAAAGATTTCCATTTGAAACGACAGCAACAGACTACAAAATAAATGATATCATTAATTCCGAAAGTTTAAAATAAAAAACAAAGACCTTTGTGTTTCTAATACCAAAATCGACGATAATAGTCATTTATTTGATAAATAATTCGTTTAATACATAAGATACAAATTGTAAAAATTTGGCACATTTTCAATTATAAATTTTAAAATTAATCTTCACACACTAACGGAAATATTGCTTAAAATGATGAAATTGCAACGACTCAACACACTGTTACGAATGTGCTCAATGGCTCAGAGTTTAAAAATTTTTAATTTTGTTATTTCACATTATGATCATCAGAATTACAAGATTCTTCCTCACATCGATCTTTCCTTTCATACGCTTCACGATTATCGTCATTCACGCTCGAGTTATATTTGTTCCCAATGTCCACGCTTTCTTTTGCTTCCGTAATCTTTATTCTCTGTTGAAAAAAATATAAAATTATTCAATCAAAATTAATTTAATATAGTAAAATATAGTTGTGTTCATCATAATAGCCTACGGTTGGCCGATGAAGTTAAAGCCGTTAGCTTGCTACTTTGGAAGATCCGGAAGGGTCGAAAATCCCTTAAAACTTTTTAGTGAAAATTTGATTTTTGTAAAACTAATAACTAATACTTGTTAAGATTGTCGGACTAATTGTTCAAAATGTGATTATTTATTGTACTTACTTCGTTGAGAATAATAATTGACCATTAATCATTGTTAGTTCTGAGAAAATTTGAAAACAATCACGTTTGCCTTTATTTGGGTAAAAGAATTTACAAAACTACTTGAAAACAACACAATTATCTACCAACCAAATGAATAAAACAGCTTCTTCCCTCCTCAGACTTAGCGCCAGCTATGGCTACCTGATATTTTAATTCTATTTTAAAATACAGCTGAGTGACCTCGTGGTTTACATTTTAATTTAATTTTTTTTATTAATTCAAAAACAAAAACTTTCAAAAAAACGACTTTAAGGTGGAGAAATTTTTTATCGTTAGTGAATAAAGCAATTTTGATTGTGAATTTCAGAGGCTTGGAAGCTTTATTAAAGTGTTCAAAATTCAAATTAACCTAACAGTAGAAACTTCATTAATTGGGATTATATAGACAGATTCTTGGCATTCGAAAACGTTCATTACTTTTAACCTTTTGTACTTTTACTTTCGATTTTGCTTTCATATACATAAATATTTATGCTGTTTTGTATATAATTATATGTTTATTTACCTGTATATAAATTATTCTTCCTTATACACTTTAATTATATATCTATTTTNACTTTTAACCACCAAAATTTAATAGTACCAATGCCCCTAATATATAAACCTGCCCGCAAAATTTTAGACATTTTTGACTAAAGAAACAAGAGTTATTTATTAACTATCGAAGTAGGTCAACAAATCGTCTCTTATCCAAATCCACACATAAAGAAAACCCTAAACTTTTTTTGCATTTTCGACGTTTCAAAGTCTTCCGAGTTCAAAAATGTGAAAAATTTTTAGAGGAATCATTTTAGACCGATCGCCATACTTTCCCCGTTATATAGTCCTATCGCAGCCGGAAAAGTAATAATGAAAGCGAAAGAATTTTTAGTCTCGGATATGTTTATTTACTGATTAATTGAATAATCAACCGCAGTTGCAATGTAACCGAAAGCCTGAAAATGCGAGCATTCTGTTGGGAAGCCAATTACTTTTTTTTTTTTGCTTTATTACTCATGAATAGGTAAGTATTGTTTTTATCATAACTTAATGTTTTAATTTCTCGGCTGTTATAGTGTAACACGGGAAAGTATTGTAATTGAAAGTACTGTTTGAGATATTTTAATCCTTAAAATAAAAAGTAGGGAAAATTTCAGGCGTGAAAAAGAAATTAAACTGAACTATTCAGACCCCTCTAGAGCCATTTCTGCGTATCGGATTTTGATCAAACTTGGTATATACGTTATACAGACCACGGGGAAGAGATTTCTGCAATAAAAAGTCACCACAGGATGACTGTTTATACGAAATTAGTACGCAAAGTAAGCAGACCTATTAAAGAAGAATACATTCAAAACCTGAAAGTCATTCTGCGCGTCTTTAATTATAAACTTACGGAAAAAACACAAAGCTTTACTGGTGAAACTGTTTTATCAGGACGACGGCAATAGCTTAGCTGCACTGGGAAATCGCTGCTGTAGTTGACAGAGCCTCCAGTTCACAATATTCTTCAAGTGTTCCACCGGTGCCTTGTTGTGAGGTTTCCTAAAAGATTGTGTTTATGGAGGAGGGATTAAGACTCTGCCCGAATTGAAAGCCAGCATTACATGCCATGTTGCTGAAATTCCTTCTAATGAAATGCATTACATGTCATGTTGCGAGGCTTTCTTCGCGATACCATTGAACATGCTGTAATGCGCTTTGAACACGTAATTAATGTCAATGGAGTACACTTTGAACACATTTTGTGATTGAATATATTGTAATGTTTCTGATTTTGTCGTCTTTCTTTAGGCGCCATATTTTCATGTGATGGTCGAATTTTGAACTATTTTGTTTGCAGAAATCTCTTTTCTGTGTTCTGTATAACGTATATACAGTTTCATCAAAATCTGATAAGCAAAACGTGCTCTAAAGGGATCCCAGTAAAGGGAATACCAGTTAACCGATTTACCGGTTAACCGATAAATTGACAAAAAAAAACATTCGGTAAACTTACCGGTAAATTTTTGAAATTTACCGGTAATTCAGTAAATGAAAAATTCATACTAGACATTTTTATGTAGAAAATATTGTGTTTATAGATATTTAAAAAGGCTAAAGGGACATTGAAAAAAAAAAACAGGTAAATGTAAGCAACAATATATCTAATTATTAATTTTATGTGAGGTATTTTTTGTTTAATTTTAATTTAAGCTTTCTTCGGTTTGAGAGGCGGTATAAATCGTACTGATTACAGATACAGATCGTCAAAATTAGGAGATAAGACTGTAAATAATTTAAGTTTCTTGAGAAGTTATTTTTTAAAAATGATAATCAATAAAATGGTATTAGTTACTATATATCATTTCTGTGGAATTTTATTTTTCTGTATTATTTTATTTCTGTTTCTAAAAGTTATTATTGTTTGTTTAGAATAACACTTTGATTTTTATATTTTTTATATTCTATATCTTTGAAATAAAAAATGTGAAATGGAAATCAAAATGACATATTTTTTATCACCTTAATTTTATTTTTTAGAAAAAAAATTTACCGGTAAACCGGTATTTTAATTTTCATTTGCCGAATTACCGGTAAATGAAACAGTCGGTAAATTTACAATCCCTAATTACCACTTTGTATGTGTGTGTTTGCTAACCTTATTTCGTTTAATATCTCAGGATAGGGTATAAAAGAAATTTGGCGTGTAACTTGTATATAAAGAGAACTGATGCTATTAAATTTTGGAATATGCAACTCGAGGGAATGAGGAGATAGAGGGGATTACTTGTCATATTTCGCCTGGGGTCAGACATAATGAAAACTTTATCCATTATTGGAGTTTACAATACTTTTAAAAAACTCATCTCTATGCTCAAAGTTAAGCTTGTTTTTTTATACCTTTTTACAATAATTAATAATATACATAAGAATCCGCATCGAATCCTTACGTCTGTAGAAAGCTTCTGTGTGGATCCTCATAATTTATTAATTCAGCAATTGCAGTAAAATCTGGATTTAACTAACGAAACTTTGTTCTATAGGAAAAATTTGTTTGTTTGTTTGTTACGAAAACGCAACACTTGGGATGCCTTCGGGTAGGTCTTTTCAATGGTAACTATCCCCTATTCAGGCATTACAGACGTGGAGAAAACATGGAAAACTCCACTTCGCCAGCCCGGCCTGGGTGAGGCACAAACTCACGACTGAACTACCAGTGTTCGGAGAACGGTAGCGCTTGGACACTGGTGGGTCAGAAAATTCAAAAACATTTTTATTCGCGAATAAAGCGTTCTAACAGATTGCAGTAATGAGTCAATATATGTGTAAATTACTTTTTTATATTTATACATTATGTGAGAATCTGGAAATCGGAAGGAAAGTCAATTTGAGCAAAGTAACAAAGTAGAGAAAAAGATTTATAAATTAATAGAAAATAATATTTTAAACTTCAACGAATTTTACAAAAAACGAATGTCAAGAGAAACTTTCGATTTTGAAAGGAAGTTGATTTCCCTTCCATGGCCGACTCATGATGAGTTGATTTTTGCACACGCTACTGGAGAGCAGATAAAAGGGACATTTTCCCGCCATTCGAGGCAGTCCGTCGAAAGTGGTATTACCACACGAAGAGAGACCGACATACGAAAAGATATCGTCATACAAAGTGTCCGTCATACAAGTCAGTCATACGAATCCGTTAAATGAAAGTCATAGATTTATAGCACTACATACGAAATATACGACAAAATTGTTAAAAGAGAAGTTATTTAAAGAACTTTTTATAGAAAATATTAGAAGAAGAATACCCATAATTAAAGAAGACCCTCATGCAGTGAAATATTCGAAAGACCTGGAGAAGGTAATATGATCACAGTTAGATCGATTTTGATCATGAGGTAACAGTATGTAGAAAGTCCCAGTTAGACAAGATTTTGAAAACGAAAGGGCCAGAATATTTAAATAGAAATTACGTCGTGTGTTCCAACCATTTTACGGAAAAAGATTATCTTCAGAAATATCAGCAATATTTCAAAACAATTTTAATATGTTTGTTACAGAGTCTATATGGAATTAAAACTGTCAATTAATTATTTCTTTAAAAAATGCAATTATTAAAGGTGTTTGTGACAATTGTATTAAATTATTGGCAGATAAATATTTCAAAGTCGTTATTAAAGCATACGTGACAAAAAATAACGATTCATCTAAAAGTTTTCTGAGAACAAAAAATGCTAAATTAAAGATTTCACATATGTAATAACTGTATTATCCATGATCTGTATGATCAAACTGTGCACATAATACATTTTGGGGTTCAATGTGTTTTAATTTAATGAAAAAATGTTTTATTTTTAAAAATTGTGAATTAAATTAAAACCTCAGAATTTAACTTAAAAAATCTGACACTTATTGAATTTGATTTGTTTTGTTGCTATTATTCCTTCCTTTAAATCACTATCCATCCACGTTTCCTACTAAGTAAAATTATAATTCATGTTTTAAGATCATAAAATAAAGACAAAAAGATGATAACATATTTATTTCGTAATATTTTTGAAAGTTTTGTTAGACTTTGCATAGTCTGCGGTGTTAATGTTCTCCTCGAACCGCTAGATGTCAGTAGTTCACGCTGTCGCCACTACGGTACATGCTAATTCACGAGAGTTTCCACTATTGTGGTATAAGCTATTTGCCTAACTCAAATTCTCCTAGGTGCCAGGAAGTTATAACGCGCCACTGTTTAGCATTGAAATTGATGGGATAAAGCAACATGACACACGAGCGATCTCCAAGGGGAGGTGACATATGAGAAGACTTTTATGAGAAATTGACCTCTTTATACGTGTTAGATAGATCTACGAAGAGAACCCAGAAAACTGTAATCACTGCCGTAAATCATCTGGCTCTAGCCCGATGATTTACGGCAGTGATTGGTATGTTATTGGTGTTCATTGCATCGGGTTAGCAGGGTTGTTTATTTCCAGAAAACTGTATCCGGATCACTGAACACTGGTAATTGGTTGAGGATTTGCTCTTGGCAAAGAATTTCAATTCGGTTAAATAATTTCAACTATCAAACAGAACTGGATAGCTCAAACTTCGGAGTCAAGGTTATTAGAATTGCAAGGTTGGCTCGCTTCGACGTTGTGAGGCCCTGGAAATAGCCCCTCCCCCTAAAAAAAGGAAAGATATGTAAAAATTTGTTATGTTAAA